TTGCTTAGAGGTCAACTTAGGTGGAGCACATCCAGTCTTTAGAGGGCATAATTTGCAGATATCTCTTCCTGCAGGACTGGGTGGGGGGGCTTGTAAAGCTTTCTCAGAGCTGGCACAGAGTCCAGAATTTCAAATTAGGGTTCACGCACATTTTACCACTTGCAAGATAAGGTTTATACAGCCCCACACAAACTTGCTTTCTATAAATACATGCCCCTATCAGTAGTCGTGTCTTTTATGTTTTAGGATATCCCTCCACATGTTATGTTGGGCTTGTTACTGTTCTCCCCTGATCTTAAAGATGTGATAGCAATCCCCATCCTCAATAGTAAGGAGTAAGGTAGAGGTCATTCAATGCTCTCTATGACCTATGAGAGGAAAAAAATTTTGTATGCCTACGTGTGCATGAGAGAAGGAGAGGGAGAGGCAGAGGGAGAGAATGAACATGTGGTATAGCAGCATATAATTTGACTTTCTAAACTCTTACAAGAGGTTACAGAAGAGATGCTAAATGTATTTAAGGTACAGTGGTGATTCCTGTAGCCTAGATATGGGTGGATAAATTTCTTCAGAACATGTCATTTGTTCTGGTTTATACCCACATGAATGGACCATACAACGTCTGACTTGCTAATAAGATGTACATTCTTTGTATATCTATTAAACAGCTTCTTCCAAATATGAACCCTCAAGAGGTATAGGTTGTAGCAGTGTTGGTCTAAGGATATAGGCAGGCAAGGTTCTTTGGGTAAATCTGATATCTTTTATTAGACCAACTCAAATAGTTGGAAAAATTCTTCTTTGCAAGCTTTTGGGTACAAATACCCTTAGTCCTATGGCCCAAAATATACCGAATGGATCCAGACCATGCCATGACAAGAAATGCAAAACCTGCCAACATCTCTCCAGTACCCCCACAATTACTACACCCCATAACAGAACCATCACCATTCCTGGAACTTACAGCTGTACCCCCAGAAATGGTATACATCTCATCCAGTGCACCAAACGTCTTGGTGGAAAATATGTAGGAGACACAAAACAACAACTGTGCACCAGAATGAATGCACACCAGAAATCCATCAAAGACATGAATACCCCGTTACCTGTGGGGGCACATTTCTCATAAGTGTCATGACCCAAAGGGTATGATTTTGTGTGCTTCGGCACTGCAGAATTATTTCCCGCCACATGGAGCTTTCTTTGCACGGTGCAATTCTCAGTTGCATAGAGAAAACCCCGGTGCAAAGGAGTTCCCGCCACCCGTATGTAAATTTGTTTCCCACTATTGGCTGTTTCTAAATTATTCCCA